TTTTTTTTTTTTTTTTTTTTTTTGTCTTTTGTCTTTTTTCCGTGTCCGGCAACGGATCGCAACCCTCAGTGTTGCCCCCGTACCGGACCGGGGACCGGCAACGGGATCGCAAGCCTCGGTGTTGCTCCCGCACCTCGCTCAACCAGTGAGCGGGAGCCGGTCTGTATGTGGGATCCGAACCCTCGGACGGGAGCGCCGCCGCGCTTCCCAAGCGGCGCACTATCCAGTGCGCCACTGGGCCGGCCCGGAAACTATCTTCTATATCAGGGATTTTCAAACCCAAAATGTGTGTATCAGAATCACTGAAGAGCTACTAAAGAATACAGAGAACCAGGCTTGCTGAAAGAGAAAAGAGCCTGGGCCTCTGTATTTTTACCAAATTCCCAGGTGACTCACATAAAAAGTTTGCGCACTACTAGTCTTTCCTGCACAATTAGAATCACTTGGGGGATGTTTTTTTTTTTTTTTTTTTTGTCTTTTGTCTTTTTTCCGTGTCCGGCAACGGATCGCAACCCTCAGTGTTGCCCCCGTACCGGACCGGGGACCGGCAACGGGATCGCAAGCCTCGGTGTTGCTCCCGCACCTCGCTCAACCAGTGAGCGGGAACCGGTCTATACGTGGGATCCGAACCCTCGGACGGGAGCGCCGCCGCGCTTCCCAAGCGGCGCACTATCCAGTGCGCCACCGGGCCGGCCCCTCAAGGTGAGCATTTAAAGTTACATCTTTTCTGGGGCCGGCCCGTGGCTCACTCGGGAGAGTGTGGTGCTGATAACACCAAGTCCACGGGTTCGGATCCTATATAGGGATGGCTGGTTGGCTCACTGGCTGAGTGTGGTGCTGACAACACCAAGCCAAGGGTTAAGATCCCCTCACCGGTCATCTTTTAATTGAGAGTAGACCTGCCTCCTTTATGTCAGAGGCAGGTTGCCTGCACTTTGCTGGCAAGAGTACAAGTGCAGGTGCTTTATGCAACAGATGCCTTCGGGGAGGATTGGTTACCAGGTGGCATCTGGTATAGGGTTAGACTGAGAGTCAAGAGAATTGGATTCCAGTCCCAGCTCTGTGACTTGTCATGTGAGCGTTACCAAGAGATTTTTGACAAAGTCAGGAAAAATTTCCCATTCAGCCAGACACTGTACTAGGAGTTACAAGAAGACACTTGTTAATATCATTGGCTGAGAATTTATTTTGGGACCCTTCAATGGCAGATAAAAATTCCACCACGGAACCAGCTGGAATAGATAGCTTTAGAAGTAATGAGTTTTTTTTATCTTCAGACACAGTGAAATATCAATTGGATCACTGTTGGTATGGATCCTGTTGATGAGGATGACTTTTTAGGCTCCTGTTCTATGTAGTTCTATGATTTTCTGACCTTGATCCCTTGGCCTTGGTATTCCCAAATGTGAAATAAGCTGGTTATTCTAGTTGAGCTCTAAGCCCTGCCCAGCTCTTCCATTCTGTGATCATGGCTGCATGAGATATGGCCTGGATGTCTGGATCTCAAATTTCTTTCCACTAAACCGTATTTGGGAAGTCTTAGGGCTGGGATGTCAAAATAAATGGCTTAAGTACTGTTACTACCCTTACTATGCCCATGGCAGTCATTACTAATCAGCTTGGCACTCCTTCCCACTGAGCCCAAACCCTCCTGATCCTGACGGGGGTTTGACTCCTCATTTTATCCCTTGTCAGAGCATGGCCAGCGCAGCGAGGGAACTGGTTATCCAGCGGTTGAGTCTGGTGAGGAGTCTGTGTGAAAGTGAGGAGCAGCGGTTACTGGAGCAGGTGCATGGTGAGGAGGAGCGGGCCCACCAGAGTATCCTTACACAGCGAGTACACTGGGCCGAGGCACTGCAGAAGCTCGACACCATCCGCACCAGCCTGGTGAGCACGCTCACCCACCTGGACGACCTCCAGCTGATTGTAAGTCAGACAAGTGTGAGGCCCAACCAGTTGGCCAGACTCCCCAAAAGTTTGAAAACATTGAGAATGTTTATTGTAGAAGGTGGGTGGAACTGAGAATTTGGAGAACGGATGAGTTGCAAAGATTCTTCACTTAACCAAATTGTAGCCAGGCTCTGGAACCTTTTCTTAGGCTCATCTGTGTACTTTCTTATAAAATCCAGATTTAGCAAAGAACCCCGCCAAGTCAGCGAGAACCTCCTGTCCTTAATATCCGATCACTCTGCTTATCTGATCAGGTTCCTCATCCTCCACGATCCCCCAGAAGATGTCTGATCACCCTGGCCTGTCTTCAGCAAGAATCCTGTTACTTTGGTTTAGCCAGAATCCCCCTTTCCTGCTCCTTGGCTAGAAATTCCCACTTGACTATGCTGTATTCAGACTTGAGTCCAATCGCTCTCCCCCACTGCCAGACCCTGTTGCAGTGGTCCCTGCACCTATCACGATGGTCCTGAATAAAGTCTTCCTTTCTGTGCTTTAGCAAGTATCATTGCATAGTTTCTTCTTTAATGTGAGGCAGGGGAATAAAATTATATAGATTTTGTTTTGGTACCTGATAACAATATTCTTCAATAGTTTCAAATGTTTACTGAGTGCCTATTATATGCTAAGTGTTGTGCTGACAGTTAGGATATGGAAGGATATGTGCTATGGTAGAGCTAGGGACTCCACAGTCCAGGCTGGGGGGAGGAGGGGTCAGGGAATGATTCCTGGATGAAGTGAATTGGAAGCTGATGCCTGAAAAGTAAGAGTAGCTGTGCTAAAGGAAGTGGGAGGCGGAGAGAGTTCAGAAGCACAAAGATAGAACACTGTACTTGGAGGAGCTGGCAAGGGCTCCAATAAGAAGATACAGAGCTCATCCTTAATCCTACCACCCAGAGATTACCAAGGTTAATATTTGCTGCTTTCAAAGTGTTTATATATCCTTTCAAAGTGTTTTATATAGATGTGCAGATGCCTACAGTTTTAGGGGACAGTGTGACATCTGAGTAGAAATGCTGAGCAGAGGAAGGAGAATGTGGAGCAACTGAGTTGTCCCACTGCATTTTCAAGTAGGACAGTTGCCTGGCTGCCCTAGATTGTGCACTCTTTTAGTCACACAGTTTCTGTGTACAGAGCACATTCTGTCCCAGACACTGGGACAGTCACAAAAGAGTCTCACCATCCAGGAGCTAACGGTATTCAGGCAGATGTATTCAGTGTTCAGGGTAAATAGGTGATGGTCCTGAAGGGGAATTGAGGGGAATCCAGAATGCCATGAGTGATTCATTCTGAATGTGTGTTATGAGTGTGTGTGAAGAACAACCCATAAATCCATAAAGCTCTGTGCTGGGTCTCAGAGAAAGAGTAGAAGTTTTTATTCTAGAGTCTATGTCCACATAGAGCCCTTTACGCTAGTTAAATATGTTCAAGTCTTGACTACCTGCTGGGTTTCTGGTACCGAGCCTGACTTTGTTTTCTTTTCTTACAGCAGAAGGAGGAGGAGATTTTCGAGAAGTGAGTATGGCCCCTGTGTTTTGCTTGGGCAGTCACGGAGACCTTTAGGCCTCAACAGTCCTTTGCATTCATGCCCCGCTGTTCTTGAGAGAAAGCACAGGGCATGCATCTGAGTGGCTTTCCTGGAGCCCGGCCCAATGGTCAGGGGTCTTCCTGCCCCTGGCTTGGAGAACTGCTTTAGACCCCCAGGGAAGGGCAGTGAAATAAATACTTAGTAGTCAGAGGCTTGCCACAGCTTTCTTAAATATTATCAGATTTAAAAATGTAGTCACGGGCCAGCCCGTAGCTCACTCGGGAGAGTGTGGTGCTGATAACACCAAGGCCATGGGTTCGAATCCCATATAGGGATGGCCGGTTGGCTCACTGGGTGAGCACGGTGCTGACAACACCAAGTCAAGGGTTAAGATCCCGGGCCGGCCCGGTGGCGCACTGCGTTAGTGCACCGCTTGGGAAGCGCGGCGGCGCTCCCGCCGAGGGTTCGGATCCTACATATAGACCGGTTCCCGCGAAGTGCGGGAGCAACGCCGAGGGTTGCGATCCTGTTGCCGGTCCCGGTCCGGTACGGGGGCGACACTGAGGGTTGCGATCCGTTGCCGGACACGGAAAAAAGACAAAAAAAAAAAAAAGATCCCCTTACCAATCATGGGGGCTTAAAAAAATTAAAAATAAATAAAAATAAATAAAAATGTAGTCACCCCTCTCCCTCAGTGGAGGACAGAAATAAAACATAGACACCCTGGACCGGCCCCAGTGTGGGTGACTGCACTCGGGTGAGTACAGCACTGGTGGCGCCAAAGCCGCGGGTTCGGATCCTATGTAGGGATGGCTGGTGCGCTCACTGGCTGAGCATGGTGCAGACCACACTGTGCCGAGGGTTGTGATCCCCTTACCAGTCAATCAATCAATCAATCAATCAATAAAAAAAAACATAGTCACCCTGTCGGAGGGTTTTACTACCCCCATCTATAGATGAGAATGCTGAAGCTCAAAGAGGGGAAAGGACTTGCCTGAGCCCGGAGCAGGGCCTTGGATCTACCTGACAACTGTCCCAGGACTGTTTCCTCTACAGTGCGCCACCGGGCCGGCCCTTCACTCCCCTTTTCTCTGATGAAAGAGTCTTTGCAACTTAAGTCTGCATTATCACTCTAATTTTGCACTTTATTTTTTATTTTTATTTTTATTTATTTATTTTTTTAAAGATGACCGGCAAGGGGATCTTAACCCTTGACTTGGTGTTGTCAGCACCACGCTCACCCAAGTGAGCTAACCGGCCATCCCTATACAGGGATCCGAACCCGTGGCCTTGGTGTTATCAGCACCACACTCTCTCAAGTGAGCCACGGGCCAGCCCCTAAATTTTGCATTTTAATTATTCAATAATAAAAGCATTTCACCAGGTCTTAGCTGGCTTCTGAAAGGCTGAGAGCCAAGGGCCTGAGGAAGTGGGCCAAGAAGGTGTAATTTGCCAGGCAAAGTAATTAACTTCTCAAACCTTCTGCACAAGATTTCAGAGCTATACTTATAGAACACGGTTCATTCTTCTTACTGATTTATTTTTATATTTAAGTTTCCATAGCAATATGTGTGCGTGAAAGAAAACAATTCCAATATAAAACCATTTAAAATTAAAAATGAGTCTCCATCGCCCCTCCCCAATCCTCTTCCCGAGGTGATCAGTTTTAATAGATGTGTGTTTTCTGGACTTTCCTATGTATAGTCATAGCAGAGTATGTGAGTGTTTTGTTTTGTTTTTGCCTCTTAAGAAAAAATTTTTTTAAACACAACGAGATCATTTTATACTTGTTCTACAACTTGTAAGGCTCTCTTGGATATCTTTCCATTTCAGTACATTTAGATTTACCTCACTTTTATGAAAGTCTCTGAAGTATTGCACAGTGTGGATGTACCCACATTTATTTTACTGTCTCCTTTTAATTTTTTAATTATTTAAAAAATAATTTTAATTATTTAAAAATTAATTTATTTTAATTTTAAAATTAAAATTTTATTTTAATGCAGGCTTGGCCTGTTCCATCTTTGCCTTTTTGCAAACTTTTTTTTTTTTTTTTACAAGATGACCGGTAAGGGGATCTCAACCCTTGGCTTGGTGTTGTCAGCACCACGCTCAGCCAGTGAGCAAACCGGCCATCCCTATATAGGATCCGAACCCGTGGCCTTGGTGTTATCAGCACCGCACTCTACTGAGTGAGCCACGGGCCAGCCTCCTTTTTGCAAACTTTGCACACTTAGGAGATACCCTACCGGAGTATTTAGAAATAAAAGCTCATGCTTTCAGCAACCTGCCTTCAAACAGGCCGGAAAAAAGATAAGTCTTTTATGTATACACTAGATAGATACATAGATAGACAGATAGACGGATAGATAGATATACAGGAAAGACAGAGATAGTCTTCTCTTTCTCCTTTTTCTCATCTTCCTCTGACATGGCCTGCCCTCAATATTAAGACAATCTGAATTTTAAAAAAATTTTTAATTTTTTAATTTTTTATTTTGAAATATTTCACATGTACAGAAAAGTTGCAAAAGTAGTATAATGAGCTTGACCCAGAAATACCAGTTAACATTTTGCCACATCAGCGCTCGCTCTCTCTGTCCTTTGTCCTGTCTATCTACATATCTATCTAGTAAAAGAATGTATATATAAAAAACTAATTTTTTTTCTGGCCTATTTGAAGGTAAGTTGCAGAAAGCATTGAGTTTTTTTTCTTTTTTTTTTTTTTTAAAGATGACCAGTAAGGGGATCTTAACCCTTGGCTTGGTGTTGTCAGCACCACGCTCACCCAGTGAGCGAACTGGCCATCCCTATATGGGATCCGAACCCGTGGCCTTGGTGTTATCAGTACCACACTCTCCCGAGTGAGCCACGGGCTCGGCCCCATCTTGTCTCTTTTAATCTGGATTTGTTCCTTTGCTTTTTTAAAAAAAAAACATTTTTAAAGAGTCTATGGGGCCGGCCGGTGGCGCACTGGATAAGTGCGCCGCTTGGGAAGCGCGGCGTCGCTCCCGCCCGAGGGTTCGGATCCCACATACAGACCGGTCCCCGCTCACTGGCTGAGCGAGGCGCGGGAGCAGTGCCGAGGGTTGCAATCCCGTTGCCGGTCCCCGGTCCGGTACGGGGGCAACACTGAGGGTTGCGATCCATTGCCAGACACGGAAAAAAGACAAAAGACAAAAAAAAAAAAAGAGTCTAGGTCAGTTTTACAGAATATCTCTCAGTTTAGGTGTATTTGATGTTTCCTCATAATTAGATTCAGGTTACACATTTTTGGCAGGAATGCCTCATAAGTGATGTGTCCTTAGCTCATCATATTTGGGGCACATGATGTCCCATTGCCCCATTATCAGCAATGTTAATTCTGAGCATTTGGATAAGATGGTGTCTGCCAGATTTCTTCGTTATATAGTTACATTTTCCCCTTCTATAATTAATAAGCAATCTGTGAGGAGATACTTTCTGTGTGTATATCCTATTCTCCCTCAAACTTTCACCCAATAGTTTTAGTACCCTTTGATAATTCCTGCTTGAATTATTCATTTGTTTATTTGCTTATTTGTTCATTCACTTAATTCATATTAATATAGATGCATGGATTCTTTTTTATTCAATATATTGTAACTTATTACTGCCATTTTTAATTTTGATGTTTGAACTATCCCAGATTTGGCCAGTAAGAACCCCTTTAAGCTGGACCCTGTGTCCTTTTGACAGTCCCCATCATTCTTTGAACATTTTCTTCTTCTCTGGCACAAGAAGATGTCCCAGGCTCAACTTGCTTTTTTTTTTTTTTTCTTCCCCTGCCTCAGCCCTTGAATCAGGTATTTCTCCAGGGGTCTCACTTCCTTTAGGGAGGAATGATATTTAGAAGCCAAGATCTGAGCATTAAGTATACTCATTGCTACTGTCGTGTCTTTGCTTCCAGGCCTTCCTGGCGGACAGCAGACAGAGCTAGGAAATGTATGTGTGTGTGACTTCTTTATGCATGAGCTTGGATCACCACTTCTAATTACAGTCTAACACCACAGGGTTTTTCTTTTGCCTTCCCTCGTTCTATATTTGTATGTTTCTTCTTTTAGTGAGAACCCTGGCTCCCCAAAACACAGATGTATTTACTCACCTCTGCAGCCCTACAGTGCATACAAAGTTGCTTGAGAATTGCTAAGCCCATACTACTATTGACATGCCTACTAGTAGAGTTCAAGATTTGTCTGTAGTTCTTTTGTGCTATCAGGCTAAGAGTATATACTCACAAAGTATATCTGTGTTCAAAAGTTGTCAAGGTTCTTGTAGCTGGGAACTCACTTCTCTAACTGAGAAATGCCTTTGTTGGCTCTGGGGTCGTTCCCACATGGCTGGGCTCAGCTCTGACCTGACATGGCAACAGATCCTGCTGCACAGACTGGGCATCTGATCCCAGCCAGGGCCCTGCTGTATCCAAGCCCTATTTCACTTCCACCCCTTTGGGAGTTTTCTCTTCTGTACCATGAGGTAGCTAGTCTAGGTGGTACTCTGTAGACTCTAGTGTCTAGGTTTAGTTTCAGATTTGCCCTGGGATGACAGATTGGCACTGCTGACATCGGCTCCTCTTTCTTCTCCACCTGTTGATGGGGGCTTTTCCAGACCAAGCCTCTGTGCTTTGAGAAGATGGCAACAGACCCTCTCTTGTCCTGACCACAAAGAGCCTTTGTTACCCAGCATTTGTAAGGCTCTGTTTACCTCATTCCTCCCAAGCTGGGACAGTCACTGACAGTCTTGCAAAGAGCTTGCATCCATCAGGGACATGCTCCACCCTCCTTCCCCCTCTTCATTTATGGGCAGAGCTGTGAGATCTGGGGAGAGAGGATATGTGCTCAGAACCACTGCCTCATCTCAAAGACATCTTCAGGATTAGAGGTGGTGAGAAAGTTCTTTCTCTAGAACCCAGGTCAGAGGGCTACAAAGCTCTGTGGTAAATCCCCACTTTGCCCTATACCCCTTTGAGATTTCATTTCAGATCAAGGAAGAAATTATGTTGAATGGTGCCTGGGCTTTATCCTGGATTTGTTCTATTTTTGCAGGGAGGCAAGACTTAAATCCAGCTCCCCTTTTTAGCTCAGTGCCTTCTCTGAATCGCTGTCCTCTCCTGTCAAATGGGATAACCACTCCCTCTTAGAAAACAGCAAGCCCAAGGGGCCGGCCCATGGCTCACTTGGGAGAGTGCGGTGCTAATAACACCAAGGCCACGGGTTCGGATCCCTATATAAGGATGGCTGGTTAGCTCACTCAGGAGAGTGTGGTGCTGACAACACCAAGTCAAGGGTTGAGATCCCCTTACTGGTCATCTTTTAGAAAAACATAATCCAGCAAGCCCAGAGCCTGGTTCCTGGGTGAATGACAATTCTCCCTTCCTACTCATCTTATGTTGCAAATTACCTCCAATAAAACCCAGTCCCCACTGTGAGCTGAGGAGAGAGAGTTATTAGGAGCAAAATGCTGTGACTAATTTGTGGTTGGAGTGATGACTGATGGCTCCATCCTTTGTGACCCCTTGGGGGGGGGTGTTTGCACTTTAAGGGCAGAGGAGCGGCTGTACCTGCTGCGCAAACCTAGGGAAACATGACTGCTGCAACACGCTTTGGAGGGGGCGGGATATTTTCTGGGCAAGATTGTAGAGTGGTGAGACTCACCACCGCATAGAGGTTCTAGAGGCTAAGGTGCTAATCTCAGCTCTACTGTTAACCTACTAAGGGACAATGACTTCCCCTCAGAGCACACTGCCTCTGGTATCTACTACTGGCATGCCTCCCTGTAAATTGTCTGCCTTGCTGGAATTAAGGCTCCTGGGAGGCACAGGGGAGCTTCCTTTTGGCTCAAGCCAACTTTAGGGTCCCCTGTGTGGAGCCTGGCTGCCAATCTTGGTGTCACCCTGGTGGGAGGAGGATTTTACTTCTTCAGAACCCTTCCTAAATCTTTGTTTGTTTGTTTGTTTGTTTCCCCTGCATAAGGGCCGAGGAAGCAGAGGGCATTTTGGATCCCCAGGAATCGGAAAAGTTAAACTTTAATGAGAAGTGCACTCGGAGTCCACTACTGACCCAACTCTGGGCCACAGCGGTTCTTGGGTCCCTCTCAGGTTAGGAGCTGCTGTGCTGGAGCCTAACACTGTTAGTAGCAGCTGGGCTTCTATCTGTCTGTCTGGGCTTTGCTCCTGGGTCACACTGGGGACCAGTGCTTCTGGGATGGCAACTAGTCCAGTGATGCTGGATGTAGGCTGGTCGGGGTTTTAAGGCTGGAGGGTGGGCCCTTGGGAACTCTGAGAATTCTTTCTGGCAGGCACAGAGGACATACGTATTGATGAGCGGACCGTCAGCCCCTTGCTGCAATTGTCAGATGACCGAAGGACCCTGACCTTCAGCACCAAGAAGTCAAAGGCCTGTGCAGATGGCCCGGAACGTTTTGACCACTGGCCCAATGCCCTGGCTGCCACCTCCTTCCAGGCCGGGCTCCACGTCTGGATGGTGAATGTCCGGAACAGCTGTGCCTATAAAGTGGGTGTGGCCTCAGGCCAGCTACCCCGCAAAGGTTCTGGCAGTGACTGCCGTCTGGGCCACAACATCTTCTCCTGGGTCTTTTCCCGCTATGATCAGGAGTTCCGTTTTTCACACAATGGCCAGCATGAGCCCCTGGGTCTGTTGCGGTGCCCGGGCCAATTGGGCGTGCTGCTGGACTTGCAGGCCCAGGAGCTGCTCTTCTATGAGCCGGCCTCAGGCACGGTGCTCTACACCCACCATGCTTCCTTCCCTGGGCCCCTCTTCCCAGTCTTTGCTGTGGCTGACCAGACCATTTCCATCGTCCACTGACTTCTGGCCACAGGGAGGCCAAGTACACCTCCCCACTACCCTTTTAGGCCACATCTCTACCAAGTGTAGTATGGTGCTTCTAAGGGAAATGGGGCCTGTGCCCAATGGGCAGCTTTAGGAGGGGTGGAGATCTATTTCAGATCTGGATGCAACCTTTAAATGCTGGGAATATGTGGGAAACCTGCTACTCCCAGGGCCTTAGTCTCCCGGTCCACCACACATCTGCCCCACTGAGGGTATCCTGTTTACCACTTTACCTTGGGCATCCAGCATGGTGCCTGGTGCACAGTCAGTGTGCAGTACATCATTTGGCATATGAGCGGATGAATGGATGGACAGACGGACAGGTGGATGGGTAGGTGGGTGGATGGTCAAGTGGCTGGGTAGATCTGGTGGACTCTGGCAAAGCACTGCCTTTTAGCCCCATGCCTCCAGCGTCCTGGAGAAGTGGTTCCCTCGCAGAGAAGGTTGGGGCCAAAGCTTCTTCATCCTATCAGTTCAGTGCATCTCCATCTTTTTCATGACATGGCACATAGAATATCTAGCACACAGGGAAAACCTGGAAGAGATTTAGAACTCCTGTCAGGCTACTCCTGGCCAGAGGACTCTGGCCTTGGGGGGTTGTGCTGCCCCCTTTCCCTGACCCCAAGTCTTGGCTAGGCATGCATACCAAGGGATCATATCTTCCGGTATCCTGACAGCAATACAGCCATCGGCTTCTGTCTCGGACCTGGCAGCTGAGCTTCAGCCCATGCCCAGTGGTGATAACAGGGATGAACTCTTCCCCCTTCTGCAGCCGATGAGTGTTCACACCTGATGGCCCCCTCTGACATGACATGGAGGCCCAGGGTGAGGGCTTCAAGCCAGCAAGAACTGAGGGAGTAAGAGAGCCAGCCTTAGAGGACACATACACTATTAAAGATCCTAAAAGATTTACAGATTTCTCCCATGTTCTTTGTTGGTAATTGGGTATATACTATACGCCGGCCTGTCTTTCTTAACTCATCCACATTCTCAGAAATAAGTGTCTGGCAGCTCAGCATAGCAGGAAGAGCCTGGAGACGTTACTGGGACGAAGGGTGTCACCTCTCCCCAGGTGACGGAGACTTAAAGGATTACTCAAAGCCCATTTTCTCCAGAGCAGTGAGAGGCCCAGAAGGGGTTAATACCAGGCAATTCCTTCAAGAGAGAAGAATTCCTAGGAAATAACCCGAATTAGGTTTTCTCTCCGTTTTTATTCTCCAGGCAAGAAAGTTACAGAAAAGGAACATAGGTGGTTACAAAAAGAACAATGAGATATTCGTCATGGCAACAATCATTAGGTTTAGTTGCACCAAGGATGATTGCCCTAATAGCAAGCATTTTTGCTGTGTTACAATATTTTTTAATCTACAACAGAGACTTTAGTCCTGGGAAAGTTTTCTGTTTTTCCCAAGCTTGGCATTTCTATGTGCAATTCTAAAAAGTTAGGCTATCTTTATTAATGTTGGTATCCTCCACATAAGGGCAAGTCCGTTTGTGTTTTCCTCCATGAGTTCACCTTAGAACAGTGCTCTTCAAACTTTTCATCCAGGAACACCCTTCAAAAGGAATCTTACCTACAACTTCAGGCTCCAAAGAAGAAGAGAACCAGAGTGCTCCCCACTTTCTTTGGGAGCCACAGAGCAGATTGAAACCACAGTTTAATCAGGAGGTCTCAAAGTGGCCCCAGGCTGGCTGGGGTCAGTCAGCAACTAGTGAAGTGGTCCAAGATTCGGTGACAGGTACTACTCTGCCTCAGCCATTTGTGGCCGTGCAGGAATGTGGACCCAGAACGGCCAGGAGAAAAGCTGAAAAGTCCTGATTTTATGTGAAATCTGTTGGTTTTTAAGTTTCCACAGTAATTTACTTGAAACACTGGGCAGATCAAATCCAGTCCACTGACCCCTCTTGGCAACTCTTGGTTGAGATGACCTCTGAGGCCCTTGCAGCTCTGAGGCCACAACTCATGACCCGTGTCCTCCCTGCCTGATGCTCAGGAATTCCTGTTGAGTCGCCAGGTCATGGCACCTGGCCCCAGGAAGACAAACCCAGAAGAGAGTTGGTCAAGTCTGAAGAGCTCTTCTCTGCCTCTGCCTGGACACAGCCCTTGCCCAAAAATCTGGGTCAAAGCTGAGCTCCTCTACTTGATACCTTAAAGCCCCCATGCCATGTTCCCCCAACCCACCAACCTAACTCCCCAGAGCAGCCTTTAATCCACTGTTCATTGGCCTACTGCCAGGAGTGCCCTCCTCATCTCTGCCCATCTGAATGCCACCCCCATACCCACCTCCAGTTTAGGGACCACTCCAGAGCCCTCCCTGGCTGTCAGCACCAGAACATACAATGTATGTTCCTGTCTGTGCTTTTAACCTGTGGTATCCCCAGTCCCTGGCACTGGGCAAGGCACAGAGATGTTCAGTAAATACCAAGCAGAAAGGTGTGCGAAGAGAGGCAGGCAGAGAAATGAAATTTTTTTTTTTTTTTTAAAGATGACCGGTAAGGGGATCTTAACCCTTGACTTGGTGTTGTCAGCACCACGCTCACCCAGTGAGCCAACCAACCATCCCTATATGGGATCCAAACCCGTGGCCTTGGTGTTATCAGCACCACACTCTCCCGAGTGAGCCACAGGCCGGCCTGAGAAATGAAATTTTAAAAACCCAATTTACTTCTTCAACCTCTTTCTTACCCACATTCCCTACACTCCTGCCACCCTGAACTCCAGTCCTTGTTCCCCATGCTTTCCTACCCCCACACTGGTCCCTATGACAGGGGTGCCCTTCAAAATTGCCATCCTTTAGGACACCTCCCTATTCTCCCAGGATCTCCACTGCACTGTGTCTTTTGTGACACGGAACCCTGTCTCCTTGTAACCTAGTGGTCAAGCCAATGGGCTTTAGAATCAGATGTGCCTAAATAGGAACGCTGGTGCTCTCTTATGCTAGCTACAACCTCAAGCCGGCCACTTAACCTCTAAATCTGTTTCCCTAATTGTAAAGTGGAAGTCACACCACCTCTGCCCACTAAGTAGATTTGAGGGTTATATGTGCATGTAAGGAACTTAGCAGAGTATGTAACACAGGGCAGGCATATGCCAACAGTTTCTCTCATGACTGTAATGGTGTTCCTTGTCTAAAATCTCCTGTTCAGACTGTGTGGTGCTAATGGAAAATGTCCCTATAGCATGGCTTAGTACCCTGAATTTCAAACTAACCTCTGACCTCAGGTTTCCTTGGGGAGGGTGTCTCAGAAGCTGAATGAGTAGGGGCCGGCCCGTGGCTCACTCAGGAGAGTGCGGTGCTGATAACACCAAGGCCACGGGTTCGGATCCCATACAGGGATGAGCGTGGTGCTGACAACACCAAGTCAAGGGTTAAGATCCCCTTATGGTCATCTTTAAAAAAAAAAAAAAAAGAAGCTGAATGAGTAGACTTAGGACCTCTGCTTCAATTCTGGCAGTTTCTCTTTTTTCTGTTTTGCATAATAGGGTTTCAGATCTCCCATGGCATAAGGGCCCTGTTCCTAAAACAAAGTTTGCAAGTGTCTGGTTTAGAAGCTAGTTGGGTCCTCAGTGAACCCTGCTGGAGGTGAGGGAGCCTCATGGTGGAAAAGGGACACAGGTGTGCATGAGAATGACTAAACTCAGAGACCGAGAGCCGGTTAGCAGGGTAAGGCAAAAAGGCCAGCACTCACTGCTTTATAGTCAGAATAGGTTATGGAGGCTGCAGGGAGAGGGGCAAAGTCCAGGTCTGTGGAGAAAGAAGGGGCCCCATGCCTCCAGTGTTTGCTTAGGGTTCTCTCCATGGCCCAGGGCCCAGCCACTTCCCTCACCAGACTCAAAGCCCTGGGGTTGAGCCCTCCAGGCGGTCAAGGGCAGGCAGGAGATGAGACAGTGAGGGGAGGATGTGTTCTTCAGGTACAGAATCCCGGACTGTAGGGTCCAGAGGCTCTGGGCCAACCAGCAAGAAGCTGTGCATACCCATAGCACGAGAACCCTGGTAATCACAGCGGTAACTGTCCCCAATATGGGCTGCTGCAGCCGGTTCTACATGAGCAAGCCGCAAGGCCTCACGGAAAATGCGGGGGTCTGGCTTAGGCCAGCCGGCAGCCTCAGAAGTCAGCACAAAGTCGAAGTGTTCCCGCAGGCCAAGACCCACCAGGATGTTCTCTAGCCGTCGGTCGAAGTTGGAGACCACTGCCAGCCTCAGACCCCGCTTGCGGCACCCCCTTAGGCTGGTCTCGGCCCCCTCCAACACCTGCCAGGTATGGGGACTGCTGAGGTCCTCATACAGCTCGTCAGCAATGGGGGCCACAGCTTGGGCATCCTGGACTCCCGCCAGGTGGAAGGTCTGCAGGACCATATCAAGCCACCACTGGCGGGAGGTGAGGCCCTGGCTCAGGCCATAGTTAGGGAAGCTGTGGCTCTGAGCCCTGTAGGCCTGCCTGAAGGCCTGTTCCAGGGCTGTGGCCGCCACATCCAGCCCGTGAACCCGGGCCTTGGCAGCATATTCTTCCCCCACGGGGCGGCGAAGCTTCAGCAGTGTGTCCTTCACATCCCAGGTCAGCAGTCGTATCTGCAGCCGGTGTGCCATGGAGAAGGCCAAGTCCACCCGTTCCGTCTCAGGTCCCTTGGTCTGAGGGAAAACTGAGCTAAACAAGACTACCCCTTTACAACCTAACAGTCTTCTCTGTCCAGGCCTTGTGGATCAGATTTGCTGGCTGACAGGAGGTACTTGGGAAATGTCTTCAAAGCACCAGATCCTGGAATGAGAAACAAGAAAGGCAGAAAGTTCAGGCCCTGATGTCAGACAGACTGGGTTTGAATTCTGGTGCTGCCAACTGTGTGACCTTAGGAAAGTCACTCTCTGAATCCCTGTCTCATGTGTAAGAGGAGCACAAGGATACCAACCTCACAAGATTGCTAGACAAAATGAGATCATTCATTTCACAACAAATTTCTGAAATGAGCTAGATGCTGGGGAACAGTACAGATTTCTAGCCCTCATGGCATTTACAGGCACTGAAGAATAGGGGACATATTTCCAGCTTAAATGAGGTCAATATGTACCATGATGATATAAATCCAGGGACCCAATCTAGTCTTTGTTGTGGAGGGTTAGAAATCTTGATTCTTGTTTGATTTTTAGAATAGGGTTTTTAGGTAAAATCATGTATGGGACAAAAGCCCTCGGGTAGGAGGTGAAGGCCTATAGCCAGAGGGCAAAAACCCATCTAATCAACTCTAATCACTTCTTAGGTATTGGATTGTATACTTTAATGACTTTAGAGCTAACGTGGTTGTCATGACGATCCTGTTAAGAGATTTTAAAAATTGCTGAAGTAAAAGATGTGAAAAAAATGTTTGCTAGGGGCAAGCTGTCTGTTGGGGAAACTTTTTTTTTTTTTTTTGTCTTTTGTCCTTTTCCATGTCCGGCAACGGATCGCAACCCTCAGTGTTGCCCCCATACCGGACCGGGGACCGGCAACGGGATTGCAACCCTCGGCGCTGCCCCCGCGCCTCGCTCAGCCAGTGAGCAGGAACCGGTCTGTATG